TAACACAGTACCATAAATCATTATAATTTGATCATAATTTGATTTTAATTGTAGTAATAAAAGTAACTTTTGATGTGCAAGGAGAGATTTCTCCTCCGTGAAAACTCGTCGAGTCATAGTTGCCGCCATAATCTTATAAACATTATCCTCGATGGTGATTGACTGTTGTAATGGTGTAACTGAAACGTGATTGACTGGAATTTCAGTGTTCGATTCCTTTCTCGAAATTGAAGATAATGCAACAGACTACCCGATCCGGGGTTCAAGTCGATGTTCTGAATATGGGTAATCTACTGCAGGAAATCTCGGATCGATGAATTTAGATTCGCAGGCCTGAGCCGAGCTCAAACTCCAGGCTCAAATCATCATTTTGAATTCGGGCTTTCAAGTTCATGAACCTTACTAAAACGGAGAGAATAGCATACTACAATGGCTTAGGTTTATCTCCTAACTGGCAACTATTCAGTCATTTTAAGCTCCTCCTATCATGATACTTTGTACACAATAGTAGGTACTTTGGGTATGTCTTTTGGTGATTTTGACGACTCTGTCCCCCCCCCCCTCACTCTATCACCATAACCATCACTTGCTCCAACTTTACACCAGGAGAAGAAACTACTTCACGAAGCTACTCAACCCCAGTGAGCACCGTTTCAGAACCAGTTTCCCATCTGACTATGAGACCGAGGTATCGAGGCAAGTGAGTCTCTTCTCTGCGGCTTACGGTGTTCCTCTTCTCCCGGGGTGTGAACGACGAATTGTATTAAGGACGACTGCTGGTGGTGTTGTGATGGTCTGGTGGTAGTGGACTACGGCGGTAATCCCTGGTTCCTTGTGGTTGGCCATCGCATCCTAGACTTGCTACGTGAGCTGCCATTTCTATCGGGTTTTTGTGTTGTTGTACAGTATATAGTAGTAGTTGTATTTAATGTTTAAAGTAAGAATAGATGGGTAATAACTGCATATTTGTGTTATGTAATGTATCTAATTAACTATACTAACACTTAATATAAATGCTATTAAATTACTCAGTTTACTTAATAATCTTCTTATCTCTTTTATGACTTAATTTGTCTGTCACGATAACAGTGATTCTTGTGTGTGTGTTCCTTACTTGCTGCATCCACGTATTTCAGCCCCTAGTAGCAATTCCTATAATTCGCTTTCAAGTGACAATCAACATTAGGGATTTACGTGATCTGTTCTTGAGCAAGAAGCATGGCCTTAGCAAACACATAACAATATAGTGCTATTATTCTGTATAGTACAAATATTTGAGCTTTAACCGCTGAATCGTAACAAAATTAATAATGCACTTTAGTAACGACTATTTAAATTGTTGAACAAAAAAAAATTCTCATAAATCTACTAAAAGGACGACATACTTCACTCTGTCACTCTCACAGAAGGAGTGGACGAGCACCCGAAAAAAAAATACATAAGTCCCCGACATAAATTTCACAGTCCAGTCGTAAAGTTGATCTTGGATAATACAAGGCGTTCTCAGTAGCTTCCAAATGATAAGAATAAAACAACATATGTTATAAAGATTTGTGATGAGAGACAATCTTTTGCCTATTCATGAACCTACTCAGAGATTCATTGCCGGTGGGAATGTTGTATCAAAATATATGCTGAAGTGTGTACAAAGCGTCCCCCCAACTTAACGAGGTCCAGGTCAGATCTGTGGGGTGTCCGGGGCCTCCAGTGATCCCTCGCAGAATACCAACGTTCTCCATCATATTATCTAGTACAGGTGTACCGGTACAGTGCTTCAGAAATGTTATGTTTGGTTTCACACTTGTAAATATTGATGTTTATAACACCTCAATAATAATATTGTTATCAGAACATTCATTGTTTATACGGTGTCTATCATTTAAGTCGTTCTAGCGCCAATATTTGACATTATCAGTCTTTGAAGGAATGCACTGTATAATACTCTCGCGAATATTGAACATGAATTAAATTTGGGGTTCGATCAAAAAGGATTTTTTTCAATAAATTACATATCATTCAACGAAAATTAATTACCTAATTGGAATATTAACTCTTCATCCAGTTCGTCATTCAGTGTAAGAAAAATGCTAATTTATAATCAAGAAACTGTCAATATACATGTGCATCCGTGAATATGCTTTGAAGCCTTATCAGAAAACATGTATTGAAAAAATAATATAAATATTTTAATATTTTAATCTGTCACCTCTTGTGTACGGAGTCCACTCTAAACTAAATAAAATCATGTGGTGTTAGCCAAATAAAATATTAAAGTGGCGTCCTTATAGTGAAGGTGAAGGATGGGTTAGGGGAGATAGTCTACTAAACAAATAATGCATCTGACTATTACTTGAAAGTTAACAAGTGTCCAACAAAGGGGGAGTATACAAAGCTTAACTTCTTTTATATTTATGGTTTATCATAAATTACCTTAACACATGACTCGAGGGAGGACTAGCATAATAACATTTCTTGTACTGTATCATACTAGCGCTGTAACTTATATACCCCGGAGACGTGATTAATAATAAAAATATCTACATCTCATACAATTATTCATAAGACTCGTCATTAAATGTATGATAAATCAGAACGATAATATGACACCAGTCTCTTACCTTGTATGTTTGTTTTCACATCCGGATTAAGATAAAGGCCATAATAACTATCGCTAATTGTGCATGTGGATGGGGTGAAGGGTAGGGGGGGGGGGTGGGAGCTCAGGGCAAATTGCCTCAATTCCCTCCCAATGTGTATAAGGAACTGAGTTTCGCCGTCCATCACTTGACGGGTGTGTCAGTACACGGCTTCCCTGACCGCAACTGATAAGCTGTGCGATATAATGTCAACAAATACTTTCTCATGGCATTTCAGTGACATGATGTTGAGTTTACAAACACGCAAAGTAAACGACCAATATAGAGCGATGGACATGATGCATAGCAGAAATTAGCGGAAAAACTTACCAGTGCCACAACACAATAAACTATTCACAGTACAAACAAGCTAGAGTAGACACCTAATCTGGCTATATCAACATATATACTGTACCATCGAATGAACATCACTCACAAACGCTCACAGTTTTCAGAGGTAACGTTAAATTAGGTAAGGTCTTAACTGATCGTTATGTCAGAAATTAGTAACCCTACGTCCGTTAATAATATTTAGTCACATGTAAAATTGGTCCCTGTAAGGACAACCAACCAAGTATTACCGGCCAGTACCTCAAGATACCAAGCATTTCCACCCAGTACCTCAAGATACCAAGCATTTCCACCCAGTACCTGCAAATACCAACCATTACCGGCCAGTACCTGCAGATACCAAGCATTACCGCCCAGTACCTGCAGATACCAACCATTACCAGCCAGTACCTGTAGATACCAAGCATTACCGCCCAGCACCTTCAGATACCAACCATTACCGGCCAGTACCTGCAGATACCAAGCATTACCGCCCAGTACCTGCGGATACCAAGCATTACCGCCCAATACCTGCAGATAACAACCATTACCGCAAAGTACCTGCTCATACCAAGCATTACCGCCCAGTACCTGCAGATAACAACCATTACCGCCCAGTACCTGCAGATAAACAACCATTACCGCCCAGTACCTGCAGATAACAACCATTAACGCCCAGTACCTATACAGATACTAAACATTACCGGCCAGTACCTGTAGATACCAAACCATTACCGCCCAGTACCTGCAGATACCAAGCATTACCAGTTAGTGCCTGCTGAAGCCAACAAGACACGCCCAGTACCTGCAGATAACAACAATTACCACTCCAGCACCCGCAGATACCAACCATTACCGGCTAGTACCTGCAGATAACAACCATTATCGCCCAGTACCTGCAGATACCAAGCTTACCAGCCAGTACCTGCACAAGAATTAATGCCCAGTACCTGCAGAAACAAGCATTACCAGGCCATTACCTGCAGATAACAAGCTTACCGCCCAGCAATTCGCAGAAAACAACCATTACCGCCCAGTACCCGCAGAGATACCGTTTTACCAGGCCATTACCCGCAGATACCCGCCATTACCGCCCAGTACCTGCAGATACCAACCATTACCGGCCAGTACCTGTAACAACAATCATTACCGCCCAATACCCGCAGATACCAAGCATTACCAGCCAGCACCGCAGATACCTGCTTTTACCGCCCAGTACCTGCGAAAGATAACATGCTTTACCACCCAGCACCTGCAGATAACAGCCATTACCGCCCAGTACCCGCAGATAACAACCATTACCGCCCAGTACCTGCAGATACCACATCACTGTTCAGGGGTACCCGCAGATACTAAGCATTACCGCCCAGCACCTGCAGGATACCAAACATTACTGCTCTGCAATTCTTGCAGATACCAAGCATCACCGCCCAGTACCTGCAGATAACAACCATTACCGCCGAATAACGCGATACCAGCCATTACCAGCCAGCACCTGCAGATACCAAGCATTACCAGGCAGTACCTGCTGATACCAAGCATTACTGCCCAATACCTGCAGATAACAACCATTACCGCCCAGTACCTGCTGATACCAAGCACTACCGCCCAGTACGCGCAGTTAACAACCATTACCGCCCAGTACCAGGAGATACCAACCATTACCGCCCAGTAACTGCAAATAACTCATTACCACCCAGTACCTGCAGATACCAACCACTACCGGCCAGTATCTGCAGATAACAACCATTTCCGCCCAGTACCTGCAGATACCAAACATTACCGGCCAGTACCTGCAGATCCCAACCATTACCGGCCAGTACCTGCAGACACTGATCATTACTGGCCAGTACCTGTAGATACCAAGTATTACCGGCCATTACCTGTAGATACCAAGTCTTACCGGCCAGTACCTGCAGACACCAAGCACACGCCAGTCAGAGGCCCAAGAATGCCGGCCAGTACCCGCAAGACACCAAGCATTACCGGCCAGTACTTAGTATGACACCAAGCATTACCGGCTATTACCTGTAGAGCACCAAGACATCGGCTGCACCTGCAGACACCAAGCATTACCGGCCAGTACCTGCAGATACCAAGCATTACCGGCCAGTACCTGCAGATACCAAGGATTACCGCCCAGTACCTGCAGATACCAACCATTACCGGCCAGTACCTGCAGATAACAAGCTTTACCGCCCAGTACCTGCAGATAACAAGCTTTACCGACCAGTACCTACAGATAACAGCCATTACTGCCCAGTACCTGCAGATAACAACCATTACCGCCCAATACCTGCAGATACCAAGCATTACCAGCCAGTACCTGCACATAACAACCATTACTGCCCAGTACCTGCAGACACCAAGCATTACCTGCCAGTACCTGTTGACATCGAGCATTACCGGCCAGTACCTGCAGACACCAAGCATTACCGGCCAGTACCTGTAGATACCAAGCATTACCGCCCAGTTCCTGCAGAAACCATGCATTACCGGCCAGTACCTGCAGATATCGCCATTATCGGCGAGTACCCGCAGACATCACATTACCGGCCAGTACCCAGATACGGGCATTACCGGGTCAGTACCCAGACACCAAGCATTACCGGCCAGTACCTGTAGATACCAAGCATTACCGGCCAGTACCTGCAGATACCAACCATTACCGGCCAGTACCTGCAGATACCAAGCATTACCCCCCATTACCTGCGGATACCAAGCATTACCGCCCAATACCTGCAGAAAACAACCATTACCGCAAAGTACCTGCTCATACCAAGCATTACCGCCCAGTACCTGCAGATAACAACCATTACCGCCCAGTACCTGCAGATAACAACCATTACCGCCCAGTACCTGCAGATAACAACCATTACCGCCCAGTACCTGCAGACACCAAGCTTTACCGGCCAGTACCTGCAGACACCAAGCATTACCGGCCAGTACCTGCAGACACCAAGCATTACCGTCCATTACCTGCAGACACCAAGCCTTGCCGTCCATTACCTGCAGACACCAAGCCTTACCGTCAAGTACCTGCTTAAAAAAAAACTTTCGTCGTTTGAAATATTTCGCGTAATGAACTTTGTGGCTTGGGAAAGGTTACCGAGAGGAAGAGACTACTTGTATCAGTGCCATGATACGTTCAAAAAATGAGGGAAAATGCCATATTTATTATAGTGCGTGGAACACCTGATGCAAAAGTAACAGTTGTCTTAGGCCACGAGAATCATGGCTAATGAGTGGAAAATAGAGCAATATACCAGAGATATCATTAATAGTGACAGTGAACCACTCACCATAGAAAGACTGGATTTATGTAGTGAAGGAAACCAAGACCATCTCGCAGTAGTATACAAAAGAAACGGGGGAATAGTTAATGAGGGAAAATTGGTGACCTGGTAACTAGTGTGCCATCAGGTTACCCCAGTGCCATCACGATACTAAGTCGCAAAATTTAAGTGTATTACATTCACACGCATAGCGATAGTATATCGTGGTACATTAGAAGTAAGTGAACAGTGCACAAACCTAATTTTTCCATGAGCAAATTTTTTAATTCGAAGTAAATGATCAACCGCATGTGAAGAAACTGGCACCATTATACCACTCCAGGCAATAGTAAACGAAGGCTCATGATTTCGCTGTAACCAAAAAGGTTTAAATCTTGTGATGCTATATAATGATTCAAGTATTGGAGTCTTGACTTTTTGGGGAACTTAATAATTAAAATAATACCTTCACAGATTTTCTGCTTGCCAAAACTATGTCTCTACTAATCCAAACCCAGACACTTAATTTCACCGTTTCTTTCACAGTAACAAAAGGTACAACTCACCCTTCTCTATCTAAGCACTGTTAATATTCTTTACAATATCTGCGAGGAAAACAAAATACTACAGTTAAAATTTTTTAATGTAATAATCAAATTACTGGACTCACGCGTCTTCTTCCAGACGACTTCGTTCCCAAATATAATCTGGGTCAGGAGGAACACCAGGGTGAGGACCAGGAGAGTCATGGCGCCCGATGACGTCTATGGACTGGACTTGAGGACCAAGTGAAGGAGCTGAACGTGGTGAGGGCTAAGGGTTGCGAGTAATTAAAGAACCTTGAGGAACTGAAAACATAAAAACTTCAGCGATTCAAAAGCTTTTTGGAGTGAGGGACTCAAATTAAAGTCCTGGAGATGTAAGAAGGGTAAAGCTTGGAAACATGAAAGCTGAAACAAAGGAGGTACTGACAGCGCAAAGAGCGTGAAAAACGGACCTCGCCAGCCTCCTCGCGCACTGGCACTGGCTGAAGTAGGAGAATTACCTCGACGCTCATGGCGGGAATCGATATTCATAAATCAAGTCTAATTAACTCGCGACCCTTACTGTAGTTTACATTCTAGAACACAGTAAAAAGAATGTTGACATTTACCCTGGGTATGACGTATGTATTTCTTTGTGTACGAACCTCTGTCCTGCATGGCAGTGAACAGTGACATCAACCCACATGAATCTGACCTATATATACTGTTAATGAATATGATGTATTTTTTTGTGTTTGAACCTCTGTCCTGCGTAGCAGCGAGAGGTGATACCACCCTGTGTTAAGACCTGACTGAATTACTCAGAATAGGCAAACTGTACTCCAAGCTTTGTCAATAAATTTGTTAAACTGAACTAATTAGTCATGCTCCAAGATCCTCACACTAAAGGAGTATATACATATATATATATATATATATATATATTTATATATATATATATATATATATATATATATATATATATATATATATATATATATATATATATATATATATATATATATATATATATATATATACAGTATATATATATCGTAAGAGTAAGTCTTTGATTTAAATTGACGTAACCAAAAGGAACAGAACTTGTCAACAGTGTATAACAGACGTGATCTAACGCCCAAGCGGCTAGCTGGCCAATTTGTGGAGATGATAAAGTGTAAAGATTTACGGTGTGTAACCGAGTATGACAGACCTTCCTTTTTCATCATTTGTGTTTTGGGTTAACAGATATAGCAATATGCAGTGTTGTACAGTAACTTTTTGTTACGCTGACGCCATTAATTTTTTGGTCAGGTGACGCTACAGGTGACACAGTCAACTTTTCACCCGAGCGGAGCGTCAAGCGTCAATTTGTTCGTCAACTTCTAAAATTTTCGAATTTTTTTCAAGTTCGATTTTCAATTAACTTGTTACAAAGACGACCAGGAAAATTTTTGCCGCTTCCACCGCCCGCGCACCTGCGCAGCTTTCTACAGATTTGAATTTTCAAGTCCGGAAAATGGCCACCAACCAGCAGTCCAGGTTGGTGGAGAAGTCCGTGCACGAGACTGAGAGCAGCAGCAGCAGTAGTGAAGGAGACGACAAAGTCCATGACCTGGAGGACGAAGTGTTCCAGGCCCTGTACGAGACCCCCACAGGAATGAAAAAGACAGTGACCTTTTCAAGCGTTTCCTGAGGAAGAAACCATCGAAAAAAAACAACTTTCGACAAGGACACCTTCCCCAACAAGGCCATGGGGGAGTTGTTTATCTAATACAACACCTCCATCCCCTCTAGTGCTGCCGTGGAACGCATGTTTTCCATGGGCAAGGACGTCTTGAGACCCAAGCGCAGCAGAATGAGCGACAAGCATTTTGAGATGCTAGTATTCTTGCAGGGGAACAAATGAATAAATAAAATGGTATAATATACAGTAAATCATAATCAATTATTAAAAATTAATGAATATTTTTTTTTTTTGCCTAAGTTACTCCCATACACAGGAGAATACGCGTTTCGGGGCTGCATTTGTAGGTCACTGAAAACTAATTGACGCTAGGTGTTGACGCTAACGGCGTCAATTTATGAAATAGTTTACGCTTTTGCTGACGCATCAAATTTCTTTGCCGTTTACGCTGACGCTGGCGGCGCCACTTTTTTTCGTTGTCGCGTACAACATTGGAATATGCAATACACAAATAGTAGCTATGTATAGTGTACTGCTTACAACCCTCTGGAAAATGACTATAGGGGTCTGAGAGGACTTCCCAGTTTTCTCTGTTATCACTCGACTCTGAACTAAAACATAACGTAATAGCGGAGGAGACGGTTAGCACACGAAGGCGTTTATAGAGATCGTTCATATTTTCCATATGTGTTTTTTGGATGATTGTAAATAAAAAAAAAACGATACAACAACTTTTCCTTTAATTTTAAGTATTTTTTTCTCTATCTTTGATCATAAATTACTGTAATTATTGGCTTGGTTGTCTTTTGTTTTCAATTTTAAAGGCTTCACCTTCCCGGTTTTCTTACTTATGGTCTGCGTAAATTCCTCCCCTTTCTTTTTTTCTTTTTCGCGCATGTTGTTCTTGAACTTATTCTATGTATAAAGGGTGAAATTCATATGGTTCGATTCCAATCCCATGTTATGAGTTTGGATACATTACTAATTTCTTCGGAGTATAATTGGATTCTAAGTGAACTGTATGTTCCTATACTTATTGTTCTTCCCCCAAGAGGAGAGACAAACTAACCATCTTGTATTTTAGCAACTTTGTTATGGTGTCCTGTGCGGGTTGTTTTCTGTGCATGTGGAGGATGAAGAGTCTCCAATGTAAGGGTCAAGTTTTCCTCTTTATACTATTTCATTTACTTATTCTTTTGATTCTTCAATTTATGTATATACTTATATTCTTGCTCATATCGATCTTTTATATTAATCTTTTCTGGTGTACATAGTTTAATAATTTTATATTCTTTGTCTTTCTCTCTATAAGTATATATCTTATATTTCTTTGCTTGGATTTCCTTCTTTTCTTTACTTAATTTCTTCTTTCATATATATTATTGTATTTTCTGAGTTTTATGTCCTTACTTTCTCTCAATTATATCCTGTTTTAGTTATATTCTAAACCATGGATTAATCTGGGAAACCATGTCATTCTTGCTACAACACTTCTTGTACTTACCACGGTAGCCTGCCACCACCCAGACTTTTATTAGAATATAACATATCTTAGTGAACTGTTAGGTAGCGTGCTAGTGAGCTTCTAGGCATGTGAGTTACAAAAGCTATTTTCTGAGAACCAATGTGTAGAAGGAATAGAGCGGTGATACTCGTAGTTTACTAATTTAACATTTATTAACATAAGGAGTGAATAAGATGTTAATTAAGTTAACTCAGACAAAACTGGCCCACTTAAGCCTTACTTTACCATTCATCAAAATAGATCTTCATTTACTTATTACATCATTAAACACCTGTTGTATTATTTATTTGACAAATAAGATGGTTATTTGACATGTTCAGATTGGACTGGACCCTTAGGTCTTACTTTTACAAGGAACAAATTAAATCTTCAATTCTTGGTTACAGCATTAAACAAGCATTATATTATTTCATTGTCAATACAGATGGTTATATGACACACTTGACAATATCCCAAATTAAAATATTATCTATAACATATTATTTCTGAATGAACAACATGGCACTTTTCCTTCACTTGATGTACTCAACTCACATAACATATTTACTGATACTATCAATTTTTATCGGTTCACTACTCAACCTGGGATAATTATATTTCTGCTAATTATTCCC